GAGAGAAAATAAAACCTGCATTTTCCAATATCTTAGTAATAATATGATTTTGAAATGTGTTCCATATACGAATAATTCCACTAACTGTAGCTGTTAAGAGTATTTCATAATCATTTGAAAATGTTAGACAATTGACCTATGTATACATAATATATACATTAATGGCACATTATTCGACTCACAGAAATTATGTAAGCTCTGATTAATTTATATGAAGTGAATTTTTTAGTAAAATAATGGCATGCATTTTAACAAAAGGAACAGAAAATGCAATTATCTCGAGTCTTACCTCATCATCGTGTCCTCCATACAACGTCATCTTAGAATTGCAATGAGCAAACATAGTATACACATCAAATTAGACCTTTAACTTTAAATGATTATACTTTAACACATTAGTATAATATTTATCATTTCAATAATTATCTTCTCGTTTTCTTCTCATCTGAAAAACATAAAACTGAAATTGAAGATTTTTTATATTTTGTTTTTCTCCTTTTCTTTTTTAAGTAGTTATGAGCTGAAAATGAAAACATGTTAAGAAATTTAATACCGCTTACTGTTTTTTCCATTTATAAACATACATAGTAAAAGTGTTAAAAATCTGTAGTAAGTTAAATAGATTTTTTTATTATTATTGAATACATACTTAACTTAAGTAGTTTTCTATTTATTTTATGAAATAAGATTTTGAATAAAATAATACTTACTGCGTCCTGTTAAGAAAAACAATTTTCCAATCAAATGCCAACAAGTTAGAAAAACATTTTCTTTTTCTAACAGTGATCGATTTAACAGAAGGAAAAAATTATATATAAATTGTGTTTTCTTCTACCAACGGCCTTCATTAATCGAAATAAGTATGAATAAATATAAATACCACTTTTACACCTCAATTTTTTCCTCTAGTAAATGGTTTGAAATCTTCATTCAAGGCTTAAAAAATGTGAATGAATTTATCTACGTTTTCGTGTAATACTTTGATATAGAATAAATACTATTCTTTAAAATTTCTAAGATAGTGGATTTTGTTAAAAATTATTACTGCGATACCCTCTTTTTTTCTTATAATAAGATTTGTCCGTTATATTATGACTTTATAAGCACTTATTAAGTAGTTTTGAATCGAACATACTAGTAGAAAGTGCAACGAATTCTTTATATTCTGACTAATAACAATACTTATAGGTTTTGAGCCTATACAAGAAATATACTGGGTTTTGTAGAATTTGAAAAGCTAAATCTCCGATTTATAAATTCATTGGCATCTTTTAAGTTTCGAATCAAGTTTTCAAATCATTTGTAAGTAGTAAAAAATTTGAGATAGAAAAGCGACCTATTGCATGGGAGACCATTCGTTAATTCCTCAAGATAGGATATACCAGTTGAATAGACGTGAACAATTCCAAGATCTTACTTAAAATCATAAGCTAGTTCAACCGATAACGTGCAATTTTATCAGTTATTGGTGATTTGGCAAGTGAAATAGTTTGAATTCCTCGTGCAACACTACTGTATTCGATGAATTTCATTCTTTATATAAGAGTAACTAAGCAATAGGGTTCTGATTCCATTTTACTTATTTGTCTAGCTTTTATTCTCACAATAGACTATTAATCGTTTCATTTTGTGAAACATGATCTTATTTTTTAGATTAACATTCGTTTTTCATGGATATAACTCATAAACACACATTTTTATTTCAAATAAAAATGTTACCTTTTCACCTTAAAAATCACAGATTATTTGAAGTAGCCTAAAGAATCCCATGTTTAAGTTCAAGTGATTTAATTTTGTCATCTAAATTGGTGTAGTAATTTAATTTACCCACAAGTTCTTTAGCTTTTGGCAAATCCATTTTATGTAGTGTATTTGATAGCTGTTTTAATAGAGAATCCATTTCTTGACGTATTTCTATTGCTAAATTTGTTGGAAAGTGTTTAATAGTCTTATCATCAGCTAATTCTTCATTCATTTCCATTATTTTCATTAAAAAATCAGGATCTAACGTTGTAGTCGTTTCTTCAAATATAATATTTTCTAGTTTTAATAGATATAAAGCACGTTCTAATGGGGAATGTAACGTTGAATAAGCTTCATTGAGATAAGATGATTGATCTTGTGAATATTGTTGATCTTCCTAAAAATATATACTATTATTTTTAAATTGTTAGCAATACAGGAAACAAAATTTACAGATGATTTATTTGCAAATAAATCAGGATGCAATAGTTTCATTTTTGTTCGAAATGCTTTTGTTAAAAGGTTAACGTCTAATTCAAATGATTTTGGCAAGTGAAATAATCGAAAATAATCAATTTCACGTTTTACAGGTAATAAAACATTTTTTTCGCATGGACAATGTGTTGTACATTCAAAACGATCAATTTCACGTTGACATTTCCAACACTTCTCAAATAAAAATTCCATAGATGATGATAAGAATCGATTGTGATTTACTAGTGAATATCTAAACAAATATCATAATTAGGTATGTTTATATAAACATTAAAGATGTATAATACAAACCGTAGCAAAATGGATTTCAATATGTTTATCATTGACAACTGCCTATGAAAGAATTAACAATCTACGAATTGTGTTATTTAAACGATAGTTATATAAATGGAATGCTCAAAAATTTAGATATCAGATCCAAAAGTGTACGAACTTATTTTATTATCGTAATTAAAAAAACTAATTGAAATACAGACACAATGCATATTGATTAACAGAAAATCAAAATTTTTGATTGATAAAAATAAAAAAACACAAACAACACTGAAAATTTGGATATTCAGAGTTTTATTGTAATATTGGCTAAACTGGGCCGCATTATAAATAATTTCGAGTGTAGTTATTGAACAAAATCGCACAATGCACAAATCACTGTATATCTAATGTTATTTGAACTGTGTAATAAAAAAAGAACAAATGTTTACAAATAAAATCAATCTAAAAAGTAGAGTATATTGATTTTTCACGTTCTTACTATTGTAGTCGGATAGTTAAAGCAAGATTTATTTGTTTTAATTGTATTTTGTATTTATTTCCTACAGATGTACAATTATCTATTTAATAACTGACTTGAAATGTTTTTTTGTATTGATGGAATATTTGGTAAATTTTCTTTAATATAAATTTTACTGTAATATCTTCATTCTTAGATGGACTAAAAAAAATGCAATCGCAGTGACTGACTATACAGCGTTTTCTGATAGTGAGTAGAAAGTTTGAGAAAAATACATCAGCCTCTTTAGAATGAAAAGCTAAGATAGATTTTTTGTTGCATGCATCCAGTTGTAACAATCTACTTTTAGACATGTGTATATTGGTGTACCACAATGCACCATGGACTCACTATTTGCGTAAAAGCTTAAATTTAAATTTGCCAGTCATGCATCTACGTAAGTTTAAAAGGATATTATTACAGAGGTAGGATAATATTAGGTATCTTACAGATTTTAATGAGATATGTCTAATGTTTGCATCAATAGATGATGTACAATTGACACTAATCATTATTATAAATGATTTTTTGTGCACGTGATGACGATAACAGTTCTATCTAGAGGATAGAAGAAAATGCAGATTATTGAATTTATAAGGACAAACAAAATACAAACTTTTCATTTTAAGATCTTCATTTAGCAGGTGCTGCGTCTCGCACAGAGAATGAGTAGAGAAATATTTAATAAAGGACTACTGATAGCTTTCAATTTTTTTTAATCCATCGAATAACATCAATCAAACAAACTGCATCTGACACTAACTTTTTTAATGGAATTGTTGCCAATCTGAATGACAAACAGGTAAACTCTATTACAATATTGAAAAATCCAGAATCAGTTCTGTACAAATAGAAATTCGAGTACACAACACTGAACGTAGTTTTGATGAAAATTTTTTATTTAGTTTTCAATTTTGCTAGTTTACACTTCATACATTGTTCAAATCCAAAAGTGTTTAGCAGTGCAGGTAGCTTTTTCTGCATCATGACATGCAGATAAAGACAAGAAAATACAGACAGTAACTCTTAAAAATATTCTTCTTCAGGTATGCTCCGGTGTAATGTCATAGTCTTGACACACCTTTATTCTCATTGATTGAAAAGTTATCATTTTCGATGCAGTTATGAACCTATCAGCGACTCTTATTTAAAGCGCCATCTTCAAAAAGGCAGAAGAAACTGAAAATCAACGCTAAAAAGAATGACATCTCTCACGCTCATTGCTTTAGGCATGATAGCTTTGAGAAAGCGAGAGATCGAAATTCCTACGGGAACATTAATAGGAATGATAGAATTCTCATCATGAAAATCCCATAATTTTCCGAGACAATTCTTATCCATTGTTTCTTCAACAGTAACAGCTCTATTGAAAGAACGGGTTTGTGAATTGTGCATTGAATTTTGAAAAAACGTCCTTCTATTCATGTTTTCCATAGATGTGAGAGAGAATATAGCTTAATTGAGCATATATTGGCAAGAGTCAAACAGAGGACTCCAGATGGTTTCGATTTGAGTTGAATTGGCATCAGACTTAAAAAGAAGAAAATATATGGAAAAACAAAGGAGAAGAGTGACTTATTCTAGAAGAGGTTAAGTAATTAAACTGGTCATGATGCACTGAGAATCCCTAATAAACTCACTCACTCTTATCGTAGAGTCAGATTCTACAGGAATTTTATTCTACGAAATGAATATAGGATGGAAAGAGAAATTTTCTGATGGATCGAACGCTGTTATTTTTCTTCTATATAATATAGGCTCAAATTCTATTAAAACAATTGCTCCAAGATTTTTTGAATCATTTTCATCCACAAAAGATTTATATTTACAAAGTCAACATTTAGATGTTTTTCTAAAAACAAATATTCTAACAACACTAGCACTTTTAGAAACAATTGATTTCAGTAATTCTTACATAACGGATAATAATCATCAAATAATCATTGATTATGTACCATCACAAATGAAAAATTTAAAATCAATTGATTTATCTTACACAAATCTAACAGAAAAAATGGTAATTGAATTATTAAAAACATTATCTAATTCCTCAATAAATTCTGCTATCAACGTTCGCCTACTAGGTTATCGGTTGAATGAATCTAATTTTTGTTCATATATCGAAGTTGATCGAAATTCATTATTTATTGAACTAGACAATGAACATCCATGTAATTGTGTTGTTGATTATTTCTATCAACACTGTCAACATAAAGCAGATAATAAAAATTCAAAAAGCTTATTAAAGATTGAGAAAAGACAAAACACCGATTCGCACTTCCTCAATGTTTGTTAAAAACTACAAATTCTAAAGCTATTTTATATGAAAAATTCAAACCACAATTTTAAACTACACAACTCATTTCTGTGGAGTTAAACGGACTAGAACAAAATCATAGCTAACATATTAAGTTGAAACAGGCGCCAAAGGAACAAATTGACATCAAAGCAAAGTAAATCGATATTACGGCTTAAAGCTACCCACGACTGGTCTACACGCTACTACAACGATAGATTCAGTTTCACAAATAATTTCACTAGTTTGGTGTCAGTTTGTTCGTTCGGCGCCTGTTTCAAGTTACTGTGTTAGCAAACATTGAGGAAATGGGAATCGGTGTTTTGTCT